GAGAGAGAGAGAGAGAGAGAGAGAGAGAGAGAGAGAGAGAGAGAGAGAGAGAGCTTACGTGCACAAGGCCTGCCCACAAGTGCAAGTTGGCTGGCAATGTTGACGATCGAGCCTCGCTGTGGAGGTCGCTCAGGATCGTGCGCCGGCAGCGGTTCTTGCTGCAGCATGAGTTTCAATTGAGCGCGCGAACACAGCCAGCATCCGCGGTAATTGACGTTGTTAATCTGGTCGAAATCCTGGATCGAAGTCTCGTCGGACCGCTGGTTGTTGCCCATGATCCCAGCACAGTTGACCGCATAGTCGATTCGGCCGAAAGTGCCCACGACAAGTTGCGTGAATTTCTCGACGAACTCGGCATCTGAAACGTCACCTGCCACTGCCAGGACCTGAGTGTCCGGGTAGCTGGTCAGGATGGCCGTTTCCGTATCCTTCAACAGCGTCGCATTGAGGTCGGTAATGGCGATTCGTCGGCAGCCTGCCCGGGCAAAGGCTTTCGAGACACCTGCACCAATGCCTGGAAGATGATGTTCTCGTATTTAGCTTCTGCATCATCATGATCATGCCGAGTAGACAGTCTATCCATACCCGTGCCGGCCGCACCGGTGATAACAGCAACACCAGGAAACAAAGTCGACATTTTGCCGGCCTGAAAATAAATAAATTGAAAGATACGGATTTGGGCACCGAATGGATGGTGGTCGTGAGAAAGAAAGAGACCCAAATATCCGTCCCTCAATCCTCTATTAGGAAGTGTACTGTATGGGGAGACTTCCCTTGATCGCTGAAATTCGGATGACAGCCGCGTCTCCTGGGGCTGTGGGCCGCGCGGTAACGGTACCGGGAACGTAACGGGAACGGGGACGCTCTCGAGGCGATCTGGTCCCACGCGATAAGCTCTCACCGCACGAAACCGGTGGCTTACAGCAGGCCTAGCCAGCCGCATGGTTGTATGTTGTCTACTACTGTAAGCAGCTGGCTTCGGCCGCAGAGAGATCCTAAGGCTAGTGCACGATCCTATGTACTGGATGCCACACCCACTGGGCCGACAAACGAAATATGTATCTCGACCTGCCATCCGACCATTCTTTCCCAAGCAGCCCTTGCGGCAAGGGCAAAACTGGTTATTTTAATTTCTCTCTCTTCTTACAGCAACCTCCCGTACGCGTCCAGCGGGTTTCGCTGCCGCCATCTCTATTTCTCTATTGTCAATATGAAAAGAGTCCGCGTGTGCTACGGGGTCGACCTTGACGCAGTGGCGGGATGGCTGGGTTCCTACGGAGGCGAGGATTCTTCCAGTGATATCTCGCGAGGCTTGTACGCCGGCACGCTCGGAACGACGCGTCTGCTCGAGCTGTTTCGAGAAGAAGGCGTCAAGACGACATGGTTCATTCCCGGCCACTCCTTGGAGACGTTCCCCGAGGAATGTGCTCAGATCCGGGACGACGGGCATGAAATGTGCGTGCAGGTTAGGGTCAGACTGGTTGAATGTCGGTTGGCTAATTGGTTCTATAGTGGTCTGCACGGCTATTCGCACGAAAAGTAGGTGATGATTCTTTTCATTTTCGGTGTTGGAGACAGACTAGACTCGCTTCTTGGAGACAAACTAGACTGGCTGATGCATATATCTATATATGTGATGATTCATTTTCGGTCTTAGAGACAGACTCGCTGATGCATCTGTTGCAGCCCTGCCGATATGACCATCGAGCAACAAAGAGATGTTCTAGACCACACATACCGAATCTTCACCAAATTCCTAGGAAAACCGCCCCGAGGCAGCACCGCTCCGTGGTGGGAGCAGAGCAAGGAAGGGGCGCAGTTGCTACTGGACTACGGCATCGAATACGACCACAGCTTCCAACACCACGACTGTCAGCCCTATTACCTGCGCATGGGGGACACCTGGACCAAGATCGACTACACCCAAAAAGCCAATACCTGGATGAAGCCATTGGTCAAAGGCGAGCCGACGGGGGTGGTCGAGATTCCGGGCTCATGGTATCTCGACGACTTGCCGCCCATGATGTTTATCAAGTCCATGCCCAACTCCAACGGGTGGACTAAGCCGCAAGACCTGGAATCCATCTGGAAAGATATGTTCACATACCTGTACGAAAAGTACGACGACTTCATCTTCCCAATCACTTGCCATCCCGACGTTTCAGGACGCCCGCAGGTTTTGCTGATGCATCGCCGTCTCATCCGCTGGCTCCGTGGTCATTCAGGGGTCGAGTTTGTGACCATGGAAGCCATCTGTGATGATTTCAAAGCTAACACAAGGCCCGAGGAAGGCGCCCATATACCTAGACCGGTTGGCGAGAAGTTGAAGCAAGCCCCATTATGGGAAGGATGCTCATGATGGCCTTCTCTTTGACCGACACTAGAATGATGGCCTTCTCTTCTGGGATGTATGTGTTAAAGGTTGAAAAGTTCCATGTTCTCTATCAAAGGGTCGCAGGGAAAGCGCAGGCTATATAGTATAGTATGCCTAAATCAGCCTTCTGGTTAAAGGGGGAAGGCTGGGAACCGAGCTTGGCACCAAACTTAGGATGTGCAGGCGGGGTACATCAATTTAGGCGGAATCACCATAAAAAACCTTGTACCTTCTCTAAAGAATCGCTCCTCCTTCCTGGTGTTGCATGATAGACCTCGTTACAGTGATCACGTGGGTCTTTTGTCCTACGCCTTCTTGTCTTGCAACTCTCTCAGATAGTCTCTTCTTCTCTTGCAACTCTCTCAGATAAGTGTCTTCATCTCAATCAATCAGCTTATCACATTGCTTCGTGCAACAGGTTGTACCAACTCCCAGTGCCTACCGCTTGGCGTAGGCTCCTCCTGATACTGCCCATGGAACATCTTGTTTACATACCCACCCATACACAGGGACCCAAAGCAGCCCTCCAAGCCCACATTCTTGACGAAGGATCCATTCCTTCCACTGACGAAGTTGAGGCTGTAGAGCCAGTGACGCCGTGGCTAGGCTTTGCCCATGATGAGAAGAACCTAGGTCCTTTCCATATGTATGGTCCCTCATCAGGGTGGAGACTGGAAAAGGTCTGGGATGGTGAGTTGCGCCACTCCCACGACTCGTTAAGTACACTACCCAGCCATCAGGTCGCTGAAAGAGTAGCGGCACTGCTGCAGTCGTGGCTTTATTTTGGCCTTTTGGAAGCCTTTGTCGACAAGAAGGTCAAAGTCTCATTCATGACAAAGTGGCGTCCGAGCACTTCAACTGTATTGTACAGCAAAAACCTTTGCCACGCCCTACAGGGTCGAGTATTTCAGCTTCGCTCTAGTGATGATAAGGCAAAGGAAAAACTCAACGACCAGATACAAAACGACATGTCGCTAGTCCACGACTGGATTACACGATTTACCGCCTGGAGCGTCGAAGCTTTCCATTCCAAATTGGAAGCCAGCTATCCAGGTTTCATGAAGCTGGTTGGAGTAATCACACCGGCCATTGTGCGCTTGGCGGAGGCGCTTGAATGCACCTGCATCCATGCCCTGCCCAATCTCCAGACGTTGGGCGCCCGCGACTGGTACTACCCATACTTCGTGGGCGCATCTCGAAGAAAGATCTTCTTGGACCTTGGCTGGTGTCCTTTCACAATCAAGCTACTCGAAGAGACCACAAGCCAATCGCTACTGGACTGGGTTGTCAGCCGAAAACGGAGATATCCCATTGCAGGACATGCGCAGTGTGACTCTAATGAATGCGTGCGCAACAAAATCGATGAATGGTCGTACGTGCAGCAGCACGCCCTGCCGGACTGTGAATGTCCAAAGCTTAAGCCCGATGTTGCTGCAATTCCTGCGGTCCTTGTCAAGTCTCTAATTCCTCTCATCACTGTTCAACGGCTCGAGACTGAAGTGACGATCGAGGTTTCCGATGCGCCACTGGAGTCGCCAAGTTCCTACGTCGCCATCTCACACGTTTGGGTCGATGGCCTGGGTGGGAGCACTGAGACTGGTCTCCACCGATGCCAGGCTCTCCGTCTCCAGACCCTCGTGTCTGAACTCATGAATATCAGTCCTGCACCATTTTGGATCGACACTCTCTGTATACCGGAGCAGATCGAATACCGAAATGCAACGATCTTGCAGATGCGAAACGTCTACCGGAACGCGACGGCGGTTCTAGTCCTGGACAAGAGCATTCAGACTTGTAAGACAACAGCTTCTACAGAAGAGATCCTGTTATCCATTTATTCCTCGCCATGGATGCAACGAATGTGGACCTATCAGGAGGCCGTGCTTGGGAAGCGACTTGTCTTTGTGCTAGAAGATGGTCTCTGGGAGTACAAGATCAACACTTTTCCTTCCCTGAGACCCAGTGTTGCTGTCGTCTGGCGCTGTCTCGCTGCGAATATCTACAGGCTGCGTACTGATCGCGATTCAATCAATCTCGGCCACGTGTATTCGGCTCTGAGGTGGCGCAGCACCAGTCGACGAGAAGACGAACTGCTTGTTGTGTCGACGCTCCTTCGGGCTGAATCGAAAGATCTCTTTGACGTGAACGGTAAGGAAAGAATGAAACGGCTTTGGTTAAAATTGAAACTTGTCCCGTATGATATCCCGCTACTCGATGGACCAAAGCTCGCGGTGCCAGGTTTCAGATGGGCACCAAGTACTTTGATGCACCGATCGAAAATCAAGTTGGACACGGAGACCGCGGGTTTGAAATCTGCCTGCACGACGCGTGGGCTCTTGGGCGACTATATGACTGTTATGCTAGCACGCCCCCTACATGGCAACCGTGGAGGTGACGGTGGCAAAGGCAAGGGAACAAACTCGATCTTCCATGTTTATGTTCATCAAGAGGACGAAGATGCGCCGAGAACATGGGACGACAAAGCTCACTGCGTCCTGAGGCTCTACTGTAATGAAAACTGGCCCAAAGATCCCGACACCCACCCATTCGATATGCTACTTCTCGGTGGCAACAAAAGGCCAGAGAGTGGACAGTGGCTACCCGCGGCTGCTTTGGTGAGACAACGCCCACAGACGACGCGACCGGGAGTCGAGATTGGGCTAGATGCTACCGTGGTGTGCGATTACGTCGGTCGCCTGCTTGTAGAAAGGCTACAGATCAACGAAGTTGCCAACAAGCACGGAACGGTCATGTCTGCCGGATCAGAACAGACTTTCATCAACGCCGCTGGGGTTTGGGCCTATCAACGGCTTTGCATACGGTAGCAGCGATCAGTATCGAATTCGTTGTTGATTGAGCTCGCAAGGCCGATCAACGTCAATGAGGCTGAGATGCTCCTCTGGCTATGTCTGTCACTGAGGTGGCAGAAAGTCCTCAAGCCACCCTTTCCAAGCATACTCACCACCCGGGTGACGGAAGCGAAGCCTTTCACCGTGAAGTCCACGTGGCCACCAAGACAACTCCAACCATACCTTTCATGATGCACCAAGCAGGATTCAAGACCTCAGGATGCTCAAAGAGCAACCTCTAAAGTGCAAGTGCCCTGAAACCATAGGCTACTTGCCGGCTGCGCTGCGATTAAGTCACTGCCTAGATCCCGGGATATGTAGCACCTCATTCCCGTTCCCGTGGCAATCAGCGCCAGATTAGCACTGGGATCCGTTCCAAGTACTTCTTGCTCAGTCGTCGAGATAGGTCTTGACCTTGGCAAAGAGATTCCCGCACGTCTCACCCGCATTCTCCCCTGGTCCCCATTCTGGAGCAAACAGGTTCTGACACCAGCATTCCCATTGGTTCTTCAACCCCTGCACACAGGCCTTGGTGACTGCATCGTCCGAGCACTTGGTGTTACTTGAGAGGATCTTGAGACCATTGGTGTTCTTGCAATCCATAATGCCACTGGCGGAGCTGAAGCCACAAGTCAGCATGCATTCACATTCATCAAAAGAGAGAGGCACATGTTCTCTTACCATTCGCAGTGGTTCGCACAATAGTCGCCAGTAAGACCGGAGCAGGTAGGGCTTGATATTCCTAGTCCGAGGCCGTCTTTGATCGCTTGACATGCCGCGCCGCAGCCGTCATTACCATCTTTGGGTAGCGCAAGGAGGCCAGGGAGTGCGAGGCCAGGGCTGGAGGTAATGATGGCCAAGAAGAAGAAAATTGGGAACTTCATCTTGTCAGGTCGACTTGGGGAAGCCTGTTGAATGTCGAACCAGCAAATCCAGCTCTCGGGCAAAATGTATGTGTTGAAAGGTCTCTGCCAGATGATAGCACAAGAGGTTGAAGGACCGAGAACTTGCCTGATCGATGAACTTATACTTATCCAGATCGGAAATATCATAGTGAAGTGAGATGTTCACGTCTCATGTCGGTGATGAGCTGCGCGGCGGTGACAACTCCCTTGTAGTGATATTAGTTCATGGCAATAGCAATGCCAGCTGTGGTAGTGACAATTTCCTTGTCAGTGAATAACTCGGTGGTGACAATTGCCTTCCAATTGTCAGTGAATCACTCGGTGGTGACGGGTACCGCCACATTCAACTAGATGTAACCATTCAAGGCTGGAGTGAAGAATGCACCGAAAAGGGATTGTCCGAGACAAATATGACCAAGATTCAATAATTGCCTCATGACCTCAGAGTTAATCTGTTGAGCCATGTCGCTTCCACTTCACAGAGATGTGAAAAGGGGGTGAGCGATGTTGCGACCGCATTTGTTCCGCTGGCTGTCATCATTTGTGATGACTTCAAAGCCAACACAAGGCCCGAGGAAGGCGCCCATATGCCTAGACCGGTGGGGGAGAAGTTGAAGCAAGCCCCAATATGGGACGTATGCTCATGATAGCCTTCTCTTATAGGATATATGCTCATGATTGTCTTCTCTTCGACCGCCACTACAACGCTGGAACGAGACTGATCATGATCCGGCTCGCTGCACAAACCATGAGGAGACGCGTCCAGATATACAATGTCGTGGGCTAAATAGATGATAGAGCATTCGAGATACTCACCATTTGGCCCCTTTGACGACGCCAGTGTGCAGATGAATCCCAACTGGACGTGGTCTTCCACGAGTAAAACGGCAGGATTTGTAGAGACAAGAATGCGTAGTCATTGATCTACAGTACCGTGGGGTAAATCTGTCAAACTTAGACATTCCATCCTTGCTTTTTTAACCAGAAGGCTGGTTTAGGTATACTATACTATATAGCCTACGCTCCCCCTGCGACCCTTTAATAGAGAATATAGAAGATTTCAACCTTTAATGGAATCGAGAAATGGCAACGGAACGCAACGCTGTCAATACCATCTACAACAAGTGTGACTCCCCGCTACTCTTTTGCAACTTTGTTTCTTTGCGGATCGCAGCCATCGGACTTGCCATGTCGACCCAGCCCAAGAAGGGCTTGCTGATATCAAACCCCATCAACCGGAGGATGTGATCAGGGTAGTTCTTGATGACGGACAGATCACTGGCCAGGTACTGGTTTTCCTCCTGGCGCAAGGTTGCTTTGGTGAAGAAGGTGCCAAAGAGTAACCTTTCGTTGTCGGGCTGGTCGCGCGTGGTGACGTTGGCCGAAGCGCCATGGTAGCAGCCGGATAACATGAGAAACGCGTCGCCGGGCTCCATGACCGCATAGGCAGGAACATGGTCCTTGGGCGGTGGCGCCGAGTAATCCCACAGATGACTGCCGGGGATGAACCTGGTCGCGCCGTTCTCTTGCGTGCATTTGGTGCCTGCGACAAACAGGCCGACGCCGAAGTCTCGTCCCACAGTGTGTTGATGGGCGGCGGGCAGATGGGCGTGGTGAATGCGGTCGTCGCGATGCAGCGCCTGTTCCTCCGACCCCGGCAGGATCGAGTAGACGGTCGTATTGCAGATCTGTGGCCCGCTGGTGAAAGTGACTTGCTCATACTGAGTATAGGACGTGTGGGTGGACGATAGTAGTATATTGCACACCTCGTTCCAGAGAGGATGGCCTACTATCTCCTCAGCGAACGATAGGGACTTGCTGCAACATCCGGTGACCCGTCTGGATGCGTTGGAGAAGAAGGAGCCTGCCGCCGGTGGTTCTTAGATTCATAGTATCCGTACGTGGGCGGATTTGAAGAGCCCATGGTCTGTCTATCTTACCACTCCAGCCGTCTGTCTCTGCATCAAGGAGAGGATAGAAGTCTCTCTTGAGCTTCTCGATCGTGTCGACGGCCACGAAATTCTTGACCACACATCCGCCAGCTCGGGCCAGTGCGGCCACAATGTCTTCGGCGCTGGCATTGCTTGCGAGCGTGTCCACTGGGGGGGTTGGTGGGAAATCGCGAATCGACAATTCTCGGACGGCGTGTGGTGACATTTAGATGGGATATAGTAAATATTAGGGGATGCGGTGGTTTGGGATCAATCTTAGGGAATGGAAACTGGTTGTCTGGCACGAGGCTGGAAATCAAAGCGAGGTCACCCGGGACTGTGTAGGTCTGCGTACGAGTCGAGTAGGATTAGGTATGAGAGATAGTCTCAGGAGTATTGGATTTAATTGTCGCCTTGAGACGTACCTTAATGCTGGTCGTGATCACCATTTCCATGCATGGACAATTCCACTCGATCCGCCGAGCCAGATTCATGGAATGGGAGACACTACAGTAACTGCCAGAATACAGCTGTATTGATCCATAATACAAAAATCCTTAGCGGGACCAAACTTATCAAAGCGACGGTACAGGACGGAGTACATCAACCACCGATAACCGCGGCGGAGTTGAGGCTGTGAGATCCTCACAATACCGCGGCTCTAGCTGCTCTCTTCTGAGGTCTTAGTGTGCTGGCCAACAGCGGCTAGGTTTGGGCAGCTACGACCTGCTGATACATAGGAGCATGGACATTTCTTGACCACAATTAACCACAACGCCTGCAATCAAATTGAACCTGAGAGCCTTAGCCTACGGCTTCGTAGGAAGTTCATGCTTAGGGGCCGCGGTTACAGAGTACAGTACGCGGTTATCACGCTCCAGATAAGGGTTCCAAGCTTCCATGCACCGCGGCTAGATATGTACTCCGTACTCGTCCCGATGGGGCCACTCGTGCGGGAATACGGAGTACAGTACTGTACGTCCTACCAAAATTGAAGAGTAAGATAAGCCCACAGCCAAACCCTAACCCTATCCCTATCCCTAATTACAGTAGAACAGTTCTACTATCCAGCCTGAACCCTCCGATAGGGATCTGACAATACACAATACACCATCCGACATTGGCGGCAGGGAGCTGGTCTGCCTTTTATTAAGAGAGCTCTGAGTCAGAACATTGTCATCTCCATTGTTCTCTTCCTGACCGTCGGTATAGGTCTCGTTGTTATTGGAGTGTGCAGCAAAAGGCCAGCCTCGTCCTGACTTGGAATATGCTGATCATTAATCAGAATACGCCCTCTACCAATGCAGATTAAGTATTGGGTCATTGCTGGCCTTTCTCATCATATAAAAAGGCACGAGCACGAGCATGGCAGAGGGCTCACCTACTGGCGTGTATATTGTGTTCATCTGTCTGATGTGTACATTGTGTTCATCCGTCTGATGTGTTGTTCTTGGGTGGTGGCGTGAGTCCTCCCATCGCTCCTTTGCCTGAAATGCTATGTTTCACTGCTTCATCATAGGCTCTCAAGCAACTATGGAGATTCGAACTCGAACAGTTCCTACGACAGGATCACATCGAAAGGGGGGATTTGCATCACCGTCTCGAGATTGACGGTCCCGTACTCGTCGAATTGTGCCCATGCTTCTTCAAGGATCGAGATTGCAATATAGACATTCTTGAAAATCAGCCATTCCATGGAATTGAAACGTCGCCTGAGAAGACTGCGGTCTTGTTGCGAAATGGCGAAACTTCCTATCATGACCAGCGGCCAATTCAGACAAGTCTCGACGCTGGAATGCTCGGGGATCTGCTGCAACGTGATCATGGACCCTTTGACAACTTCGGCAATTCGAGCGTCATCCGGGCTGATTTTCTTGCCATGCATCAAGGAGAGAAGATTTAAGAAAGCTGCATTCTTCCACAAGACTGCCGCCAGTGTCAACTCTGCATGATTCGTCGCATCGAGAGCGTAGGGGAAAAGCGAATCCCCGGCAATGGCGGGCTGCCACTGGTTGATTTTGTCAGCCAGGGCGATCCCCTCGACGATGAGCATCGCAGGCAACGGAGTGTGGGCTTCCGGAGATGGAGAAAACAGGCCGGTGATTTCGAGGATGAAATCAAGCACCTCGGAACTGAGCCCCGATAGACAGTAGCTTTGTCGCAAGTCTCCACCAATATTGGACCAAACAGTCGGTCCTGTCGGGCTGATTCGGAGTCCCTTCAAAATGGTCTGGGATAGATTGTCGTAGATACTAATCGTGACAACGTGGTAGATGAGAACTTCCATGGCCAGACCGTCGTGGAGGGTTTGAGCACCGCGTTGTCGACGGAATTTCAAAAGCCGCGCTAGTCCCTGCAAGTGTTGGATGGCTTGTCTTTTACTGTGGCCCTCTGCCGTCTCAAAGAAGACGAGCATCATGGTGGCCACGAGCACTTCGGTCCCAATGCTGTCCTGCTGAAGAGCCGAGCGCAAGTCGGCCAGAGCCGCGCCATAGAGAAAACGGGAGTGTGGCGAGCCACTGTGAGCCGCCGCGAGTGCCAATATCGAATTCATGGCCACGACGTGACTAAAAGCCACAGGGAAGAGTAGCTCGATGAACGGATTGTGTTCGCGAGGGCATGGGTAGACCACCAGGCGAGGTGCGGTCAGGCGTATATACTTGTCGACCAGGTCATATGCAGGCACCCTGGGATCAACATTGATCATACGTAGAGGCTTTGATACTGACACCGGAGGAGGGCCAGGAGGGTCGGGGCCATTAGATGTCACCGAGGACGTGGGAAGTGCAGACGGCAACCCTTCATTCTGCTGGCCGAGGCTAGTCACTGACGAACTCCTCCTGTCGAGGGTCGGAGGTAGTTCATCCTGGGACACTGGTGTGCCTATGAATGAAGGGGAATTCGCCCTGGCACTGGCTGGCCAGTGGAACGTAGGAGAATCGACATGACCACTGGCTCGGGCGGCAAGGTTTTTCGCAGAACGATCGGGCCAGACACAGTCCAGGTGGTTTCTCTGACAGTTCCTGCAGCATGGATGTTCCTCGCCACACTTTTTCTTCCGACTTCTACAAGTCAAACATCCCGTCCTCACCCTTTTTTTGTACTGATTTGGAACTTGTGGGTCAGGCATGAGTCCCTCCCGGCCGAGATTTGGCAATGAAGTTGAGAACGCAAAGATACGGAAGGATGCTGCCAGCAAGAGACCTGGGCATACCTGTGACTACTGGGCTGCCGGTCAGTAGTGCGCCAACAAAAAGGATCTGGCAATGCTCGTTCGTAGGTATCTAACGAGTATTGTCACATATTGTCACGGTACCTAGGTAGTCGCTTATCATGGTTGATAACGCGCTGCCAAGCGGCTATTATTACCGAGTCCAGCCTCGTCACGTGTTTGATCACGTGCACGTCTCAAAGTCTTCCTGTCGCTTGCCAGTAGGTACCCGCGAGCCTGTCAAACTTAGGCACTAACTTAGGCATTCCCAGCCTTGCTCTTTAACCAGAACTTAGGCTGATACAGGCACCTCTAGGTATATAGTCTGGGCTCCCCCCATACCCCTTTGATAGCCAACATGGAACATTTCAACCTTTGACAGATCCGTGTACATAAAGCTCCACCAATAACTACGACTAAGGCTCGGGATCCGTCAAAGCGGCGGGCTCTGGCTTGCAGTAGGTTTAGGCCGCCATTTCACTGACATTGAGAACACGGTAGATCTATAGCCATGTATATCGACCATGTATTTCGACTACTATCTACTCTCTACTATCTACTATCCTATCGGATATATGTGTCCTGGTTATGTCTTTCGGCCCAGATGCTTACTTATCACTGTCCGACTGTACGAGCCGAAAAGCAATGGAATGTGATTTGTACCCTTCTCCGAGCCGAGGCTCACTGAGGTCATAGGCCCCAGCATCCTCCACCCTCTCCGCCCTCTCCGCCCTCTCCGCCCTCCGTCCACTTCTTCAGCGAACATACATGATACTTTGATTAGAGAAGGCCGGTGGGATGGTATAGACATGGACTACGAGTTCCCCAAACCGCCGCGCTCGCTCGTCGGCAAAGTCGCCATCGTGACGGGGGCGGGCGCCCACGGCGACGGGATCGGCAACGGCCGCGCAATCGCCATCCTGCTGGCCGAGGACGGGTGTGCTGTTGTCTGTGTGGACCGCGACGTGGCACTGGCGCAGCGAACGGTGGAGATGATTGAGGGAGAGAGAGGAAGTGGTAGCGGCAGTGGCAGCAACAATAACAGCAGCAGCGGCGGCGGCGGCGGCAGTGGCAGTGGCAATTTCAGTGGCAGCACCAGCACCAGCACCAGCAGCAACAACAACCCAGGGCCAATTCTACAGTCAGAGGCAGATTCAGGACCAAGTTTACAGTCAGAGGCAGATTCAGGGCCAAGTCTTCCCTCAGAGGCAGAAGCAGATATAGAGTCAGGACAACCCCCACCGGCAAACCATGCAGCCGCCGTTACCACCACCGCCACCTCTACCTCTACCGTCGCCGTTCCCATCGCCGTCGCCATGGCCGGCGACGTCAGCGTCGAGGCCGACTGCAAGTCCATCGTCGACTCGACACTACAGCAGTTCGGCCGACTAGACATTCTAGTCAACTGCGTCGGCATCGGCGGCGCGGCCGGCACAGCAGTCGACGTGGACATGGCGGCGTGGACGGCCTCGATGCACATCAACGTCGGCAGCATGGTCATGATGGCCAAGTACGCGGTGCCGGCGATGCGGCGCAACGCCATCGAACCTAACTGGCTGTACCGCGGCGCCATCGTCAACATGGGCTCCGTGGCCGGTCTGAAGGGCGGCACGCCGCATCTGCTGTACCCGACGGCCAAGGGCGCCGTGGTCAACATGACCCGCGCGATGGCCGCGCACCACGCCGCCGATGCCATTCGCGTCAACTGCGTGTGTCCGGGCATGGTGTATACGCCGATGATGTATGCTGGTGGCCGCACCATGTCCGAAGAAACCCGCACCGCCCGCAAAAATCGCAGCCTGCTCAAGACCGAAGGCACCGGCTGGGACGTCGCTTGTGCCGTTCGCTTCCTGGCCGGTCCGCAGGCCCGCTGGATCACCGGCGTCATCTTGCCCGTGGATGCGGGCGTCACTGCCGCCGTGGGCACCGATATTCCCAAGTCGGCCAGTGTGAATGGATGATCTCGTCCTTGGTGTCGAGGGCACGGATCAGATAATATAGTGTGAGATGGACGATGAATACGCTGAATACGCTGAATTACAATACGATGCGAGGTAAAGCAAGGCAAAGCAAGGCAAAGCAAGGCAAAGCAAGGCAAGGCAAGGCAAGGCAAGGCAAGGCAAGGCAAGGCAAGGCAAGGCAAGGCAAGGCAAGGCAAGGCAAGGCAAGGCAAGGCAAGGCAAGGC